AAACAAAATTATAGAGGCGAAGTTGTAATAAGACATACAAACTTCACTTCTAAAATTGTGTCTAGTAGCAGGCGACTATGATTTCCTCGAAAGCACATTGGTGCCCAGTATCATTAAACAAAAGGATATAACAACTTACAATACAATCCATATTCTTATATGCATATATTCAATGCTTATGCCTCTGTTCAGTCTTTCTGCAAGCACACAAGTCGTCGTTCTGCTTCTTGTCGAGTCTTCAAATTTTATTCCTACCAATGGCTTTCAACGATCAAATGTCATAGGTTCAAACACAATATCATGAATCGATCTTACCCTGATGTTGCCACAAATGCAGCCAGCAACTCTCTCCCCTTTACCTAAATCAACACAGCCTTGGTTAGTGTTGTCTTGGGACTTGTGTATTGTCATGCATACCTCAGCAAGGGCAATTGTTGTCTTGACAAATACTTGCCATCAGCCATCCACTCAAACAGTCTTGGAGGCACAGGTATACACTTTGAACATTCTTGTAAAATGCAGGACCAGAATATGCCGGAAAATGACCAGTACTGCAATCGGTAGATTTGGTGGACCCATATTCTCTGCAAACCAAAATTGCTCAACAGTTCCAAAGAGCCATTGCAAAGACCACTTCTGCCCAAAATTACATGTCAGCATCACTCTCTTTGGTTGACAAAAAGAGGATTGGTTCCAAACCACCTGCTTCATCAGATGTTGCCTTACTTGCACCCCGACCTGAATGCCTTGCTTGAATTTTAACCAATGGTTGTCCAATCTCTAGTAACTTCTCGTAGTTATATTCAGCGACACTTTTTTTATCAAAGTACAGCCGGATAGCATCACTTAAATCGATCCATTGAACGTTAGGTCTGGAGTGCTCTATTAATAGTTCCAGTCCATCTCGGTACTTGTCCATCTCTCATTCTCATCAATAGCGCCCTGAATGCAACTATTCTGGGTCTTCACCAATCTGTCGCATGACCTGCTCTAAAATGACTACATAATATGTTAAATACATACTGTGACCATGGTCACTGATTATGGAACCATTACCTGCATGTACATTGGTTTATCGCCTACAGGAGGTAACTGGCCAAATCCCCCATTAGATAATCGACATGCCACAAATGGGACATCTCTTTTCCTGTACCTGCACGTAGTCTGTTGTCAAGCCATGAAAGCATCTTGTCCAATCATTGACATTTCATCAATAATGAGAAATCTCTTACCTTCCAATCTGAGTTGCAATCTCTGTAAGGAATCGCCCTGTAATCCTGTATTCCCGAATCGGAAGTTGAGCTGCGAATGCAAAGTTTGACCACCAATACTGAATGCAGCAATTCCGTGGTTGCTGTGACAATACATTGATCTTGCAATACTGCTTTAGGGCACTAATTAAATATGTCTTACCTGTGCCAGCAGTACCACTTACAATCATACGAGTGGTTCACATTCATCATTAGCCATGATGCAGTGATAATGTCAAATGCCAGTCGCTGTTTGTCATTCAAGGTCCCTGGGTCAACCACCACTTGTTGGTCACCTGTTTGATATTGCAGACCTTGCTCCTCTGCATCCCTTCTCTGTTTCGAAATCCATCCAGGAGATTCTCTCAATAAATCCCCGGCACAGCTCTTGCTGCTTCGAACCAATCCACTGCCTCATTATTTGCCATTTGATTTCCTGCATCCTCATAATGTTGGTTGAGTCATAACAACATCCAGTCCTCATTTGCTCTCTCATTCCTTCAGTTGATCCTGTTCGTCATCGCTTTCATCACTGTTTTCATCAGTTCCATATGTTTCATCTGCTGTGCAGCCTGGGCCATTTCTGTTTCAATAGAATGCCCAAATACATTGTCTCTAGCAAAATCTGTCTGAAGAAATGAAGCATATGTGTTAATAAACATATCATCAGTTTCCTCCATATCATCCCATGCACTTGATGACTTACCTTCCCATGGTTTAAACTTAATGAGTTGATACTTGCAGTATTTCCCAAAGGTTGGGCTGCCAGGATTGGCTGTAACCTTAGGAAATGTCCTGACAATGTAAGGATTCAGTCGTTTTGTCAACTCACCTCTGACTTTTGTGAACTGAGATGCATACTGCATCAAATTCAACTGAGATAACCCCTTGTACCTACTCTCTACTCTTGTTCGCTGTGCATAATCTTGAAGAACAGAATTCTGAAGTACTTCCTCTTGTGCATCTTCTGTATCAAGAATCACTTTTCTGCTGTTTTCTAAAGAAACAGTAACAAAACTATATGTACAGCCTACCAAAGGCAAACTGAGTAACGTATGGGCAGTCTCTTGAGCAGCCATGTCTCTATCACCAGCAACTTGGATCATTGCTTTCTTGATTGCAAAAGACACTTGGCTATCATTCTGTAATGAAGACACAGACAACTTTAGTATATCGGAAGCAGATTTTGATCGTGGTTTTCCTTTCGCTGCATACTTGGCCACATATCTTGCACATGCCTTTTCATCTACAATTACCTGTAAATCCACATTGGCCCGCCAATTTTCAAGCATGACCCTGTTGTGCAAATTCAATCTTTCATCGTTTCTCTTGGTTTGCAACTCTGAGTGTACAGATTTATTTTTCTCACCTTGAACTTCATAAATCAGCGCAGTCTCCTCTTGTAATGGTTTTGGAAACCCAAATCTGCACTCTGCAGGAAGGTCAGACCTCTTCTTTTTCAGGCATTAGGCTGGACTGCATCTTGTGTGCCTCTCTACTGAATTTACTAACCTGTGATAATCGTCGTAACGATTATCAACTGATGTGGCTTTCACAGCAGAAGGGTGTGGATCTGGTACTCTCCAGTTCTCATCAGGCAGATCTTCATTGACTGTGGTCACAAGCCAGTCAACATAACTTTAAAAGGGATAAAAAGTTACAAATTGGTTAATACCTAATTTGTATATTTTTTTCATAATTGCTGTTTACACTCCCAATTCCTTAACAATAGGAATTAGCAATTCCTGAAGAAAATATACGAGATTTTGTTTTTTTTGTGAATGTATGTGGAAGCTGTATTTTTAGATATTTGCAACATTGTGGCATTTGTATTATTAGTATGCTAAACTGATAATATACAGTAGGCTAAAAGTCTGGAAAAAGTCTTGGACACAATCTTGCAATCTATATGCATGGTGAGTGTAATTTAAATAAACAATTTAAATATTCACCTGATTAGCTTTCTCTCCGCATCTTGACCCTCTCTGACAATATCCTGGCAAGAGAATTCAAAATCGTCAGGGGACATTTCATTTTCTTTCTCAAGCACTGCTTGACATGCACGTTTACGTAACAACCGGATATCTGGGTCATTCTTTCATTTAGCACATCCATGAGCATGTATACTACCTCTGGCCTGATATTCAAACCTATACCAAAACCATTCAGCACCCAAGACACCTTGAAGCCAATGTTTGATAAACTCCTGTAGCCTTTGCATGAAGAACCAATCTGTCATGTGTGGATTGTCTATCACTGCTTGTGCTCTTTCTGTTCTTGATGCACCCTCATTACTTTGCAACAGTCTTTGCAAGTCTGGCCAATGGCTATCAGCTGCACTAAAAGTAAAGAAAAAGGTAGGGCAACCTTTTTGTTCAATCAGGGCCAAGAGTTCTTGTAGTCTCTGATACCAATACTGATTTGTTCCTTTAATTTTTGAAACATAACACACCCGTTGCAAACGATTTACCATTTGATTTGCACTCATCGAGTTTACCATTGTCTTCAGCTCCTCCATAGTCATGTTAGCATCTGCTGGATGTTGCCGCAAGTAAATGTTAGCTTGTGACAACAACTGATGTCTCTGCTTCATATTCAATGCCCAGTATGGAACCGGGGATGTGAGGCAAACCTCCATTCAAACTTACCATTTGGCAGCCTCTCTGCAAACTTCATCAGGTGTTTGAATGCCTCTGCCAAACTTACCTCATGTTGCCTGACTCTGTTTGTTGGGTCACCTTTCCCATGGGGAAATAGTGTGGGAAATGCCATGCTTGCCAAACCATCTGTTTTAAACTCATTAACAGCATTACCTTCAGTTCAGGGCCAGTCCAAAGAGTCAACCTCATTCACTGCATCTTGAATAGCTGCACCATCCTTTCTTTGTCTTTGCCGCATAGAAATAAATGATGTACTGCCATTTCCTAAAACTAATTCTTCAACTGTTGCATTAGCACTCATTACAGGTTCTTGTGGGGGGCCCTCATTTTCAACATGAACTGGAAGTTCATTGTCATCAATAATATACCTTAGCAGGGACACCATTTTCAGGTAGACTTTGGATAATATCCCTGTCAATTTCAATATCTTTGAAAAATGGCTTGTTTGTTTTCAACCACAATATAGCTTCAAGCACCCTGTGTCGACGAACTGTAAAATCTTTATGTGTTTCATCAGCACCCTGCCTTTGCACAATCATAACAGGCAAGTCAGCCACTTGTGCAGGCAACCTATTCAAAAAACTTTGAATATCCTGTGGTAAGTTTAGCACATGACCTTTGTAGCCCCTTTGCCCACCATGTTTTCTGTAGACTTGCATGATGGGGCAAACCCTTGAAATCAGCGTTTTCTCTACCTGTGTCAAACCTCTCAATTGCTCTGGAACAGTACCTGGGTCCATGTCATTGCCAGCACTGAAATTCTTTGGTGATTGCTTGTCTCTTTGACTCCGGTAACAAACATAAGGATCTGCCGCCAAGTTTTGCTTTGTCGGCCAAGTCTCTTTACAAATTGTGCACTGCCGATGCTCTAAATGCTCTTGATCTAAATGAAAACTGTGCATATCATTTCGTACAAACTCATGCAAGGGGTTGTCAACATTTTGCCAACCACCTTCAGGCAAATATTGGTCTGAACTACAGCTACTTACAGCATGTGTACTTTCTTCGTCACACATTCTTACCCGATTGTTTTCTGACTGTAGCTCCTGAGGTTTCGACCTTGTCTCGTATGATTTTTTCGCATGTTTCCTCATATTCTCAAGTCTTTCTCCTCGTTTTTGGACACTTTCACGTTGCCTTCTCTCTCTTGCGTTTGCTTTTTTTCTTCCCTTTGCATCTCACTTGCTTCACTTGTACTTGCTTCCTTTCTCCGTTTATAAGCAGCCCTACGCTTTGCCAAACAACTTTCTCTTTGCTCTGGCGTTTGTTGTTGTAAAAGTTGCCGTTCTTTCCCTCTTTGCATCTCAATTTCCTCATTTGTACTTGCTTCACTACTCCATTTATAGGCATCTCGTCGTTTTGCCAAACGACTTTCTCTTTGCTCTGGCGTTTGTTGTTGTAAATGTTGCCGTTCTTTTCCTCTTTTTGTCTCAATTTCTTCACTAGTATTTGCTTCGGTCCTGCGTTTATAAGCGGCCTTGCGTTTCGCTAAACAACATTCCTTTTGTTTCGGGGTTTCCTGATGAGATTTTTGTCGTCTTTTTTCTTTCTGTTTTCCTCTTTCATCGATTGTACTTACCTCAATACTTCTCTTGTACGCAGCCCTTTGCTTTTCTAACCGACACTGCTTTTCCTCTGGCGTTTCTGCATCCAACAGGGCTCGGTTGTTTATCCTTCTTCTTGCCAGCCTTTCATCATCATTACCTGCATCTTTTTTCCCATCTTTTAGCTTCTCACTTACCCTATTCGCCATCTTCCAAATGAAAATTTTCTCGTTTGTTAAGAGTGTTTGTTTTTTTTCTTTTAAAAATGCTGTATTCAGCAGAGTTGATTTGATACGAAATGTCTTTTTAAAAAAAGTTTTAAAGACAGTTAAATCTCTGACGTTTTAGTTTTAATCCAAACTGTTCATCTTAGCCAATCAGCGAGTTACTAATTACCAGTACTTTACTCGCTTACATTTCGCGCATGCGCACAAGTACCATGACCATTGAACGTCCACGGTCCACGACATAGAATTTGAGCAACTTTGGATTCCGCTATGTTCTGTCACAATACCCGGGTGTAATAAATCTCCCAGTGGAATTAGTACCCTCGCACGGCGCTTCGCACTGGCTCGGGGATTATGCAAACCCAGCTGCATAAAATTGAAAGTAATATGTTTTTTTTCAAAGCCTTAACTTAATTGCTACATATATTTACGAACAGGTGCATTCGAATTCTAACAAAGTTTGATTACAGGGGACACTCTACATACATATATATATTATTCAATACAGTTCTATTTTGAGTTTTAGTTTTTTACTTGAGTTCAAAGTTTGCGATTTTTTCTGGATGCCCACTTTCTCAGAACTACATCAAGACAATTTGTATCTGTTAAGCCCTTTTCATTTGAGGGGACAATTAGGTCTTCAAGCCTTTCACTTTTCATTTTTTATCAGAAATAATTTTTTACAATCTTCATTTTGCTAAATGACCTTTCAATATCTGCCATACTAACGGGTGCAGTAAACAGAAGTTAGTGGCATCTGTAAACGTTAGAGAACATTTTTTATGTTTAAAAGCACTCTCACCTGTGTCATGGACTGGATTACACACATCTTCCATCTTGTTTACAAAGTTAACAAAAATCTCAAGTTCTGCGGCTAGTGACATATAGGACCTACATGGACTGATGGAGGAAAAAGTCCACTTTCATTTACTCTGTATCACATTAACATTTCTCATATCACAGGCAAAGTGTGCCAGATCATTCAATGCAGCTTTGTGGGGATCTGAGGAGAAATGCTGCTGCAGCTTTCCTTTCTTATCCTTCCCAACGCTTCTCCTATCCCATAAACGAACCTCAGTCATCCAAGCCTTCAACGCTTTCTTCTTTCCTCGTCCACTAGGCAATAGAGCCCAAACAAAAAGGATGTATAGCCCGCTTTTATACTGTACTCTATATGGGGATATTCTTTGTACCCCATTGATGAAAACATATGTTACTTATTTTGGGAAATTTTCCGGGTAGCGGTTAAGCTTTGGTTGGTACGGGTCATTTTTAATTATTCTTTCCTTCTGAAGGTCAGGCAATTTTTTCAGCCAAAATCAGAGATTTTTTCCCTCTTCCACCTGATCAACTGGAATTTCCTTTAAATCCTCTTGAAAAACCTAGAAAGAACACCATTTTTTAAACGATTTACATGATTTTTACTAACGAATAAAATAGTCTGTCAAATAAACTTTTTCATTTACTCTGTATCAATTAGTAGCATACACAAGCCACCAACCATTTTTTGTTTGTATCTGAATCATCCTCATTCTCACTTTCATTGCTTTCAAATATTTTTTTATATATGTTGTCAATTTCTAATTCCAAAGTACAGTGCAACATGAGTGGTTATATCAGTTAAATAAATGTTTGAGTTAATATTATCCATGATATTGATATACAAGGCATGTTAAATATGACATCAAATAAATAAATTTATTAACATAGACTATGTAGTAACACTCAATTTAACAGTTTACCGTAGCAAAATAAAGTTTTGTTTGTGATGCTTGTAACACATCTTGGGATTTCCTTTCACCATTATGGTTATTTGTATTGTGCTTCAAAAAATTATCAGTGTTCATCTCGGCACAACAATCTTTGAACTTAACCTTTGGTCTATAACATTGCATATGTTGGGATTTCACTTTTTTAACTGGGGGTTCTTCAACTTTACCATCCTCCTTGCCACCTGAAGCTCCACCTCAAGATGAAATCATATCAAAAATAATAAATTCAGGTCATTAACATAATGGTAACATGGACACACAGAATCATCATCACAATACAAATGGTACACGTTAAAAATAAAACACTATAAGAATTACAGATATATTTCTATAAATATAACTCACCTTCTATTGAGTTATAGTGCCTATGAACTTCTTGGTGTTCTGGTTGATGATACCCTAAGTTGGAAGCCACATTGTGAGAAACTCCTCAAAGACTGTTCCAAGTGTCTTGGCCTATTAACCAGATTCAAGAAATACATGCCACCTACAGTTCTAAAGTCGATTGCTGAAGCGTTAATATTGTCTAAACTGAACTACTGTTGTACTGTATGGGGTGCTGTATTAAACCAGGATTCTATAAATTATCTACAAAAGCTTCAGAATAAGGTGGCTAGATTAGTTTTAAATTATAAAATTAATGAAATCTCTAGAAAAGATTTACTTAGCGAAATAGGCTGGCTAACTGTCAGGCAAAGGATACATCTCCAAACTGTCATGATGTTACATAAATCATTATACACCTATGAACCTTCCACAATTTATATGCATCTTCGTGTATTAGAAATTTTACATGAACATGGCACAAGGTTTTCATTAAGGTGTAGGAACGATAAATTATTATTAAAGAAACCTCAATTCAAGAAGAAAACATTTTTAGCCCGGGCATTTAGAGTTAGAGGAATTGAAATATGGAACAATCTTGATAGTGAAATAAGGAATATAGCCTGTAAGTCTCGGTTTAAATCTGTCTTCTGTAAGCAGCTTGAATGGTTTATATAGTATGTTTTAGATCTCTTTTTACTCAAATTATAAAATAGCTATAAATATTTATCATATATTTATTCGTTTAATCTATAGGAGTTTTACTTAGAATTTTAGTAGATTATTTACATAATTTATTTCAATTAGACCTCGTGTAAACTAGCTTAAGCTAACTGAGGATCTTATTAAATACAAAAATACAAATACAAATACTATGTCAGCGAATACAAAAAATGCAAAAAATTGTGAAGAAATTTTTAGAGTATACCTTTGTCCTTTCGACCAGGCGAAAATTACCATGTTCTCTGTTGTGCATTTGCAGTCTAGTCTTTCACACCAGCAGAACTAGATTACCGTCATTTCTAAACATTTTTTTGTTTTGTTTTTAATCCATTTCATTTACTAAATTAAAATGGTGGATGCACCAGGAGTGGAGTTATAAAACCATTCAACAATTGTCTTTTAAAAGACAACCAATTAAATCTTTTGAAAAACTACCACTGGAAGATATATCCTGGAGCAATTCAACATTTTTTGTGCGTATATCATTAATGAAACATTTATAACAAGCCGATAAAACCCGCATTTATGTTGCAATCTCTGGGCTTTAAAAAGAGTTTTCTCCAAGCACGTGCATTGAAGAGAATTTCAATACCTGTATGAACAATTGAAATTTCAAAAGAGTGACAGTGACCATATGTTTGTCGATTTAAGTGTGAGATACTGTGTATATTTATGTTTACAGTGATTGTTGGATAATTATTAAATTTGGATAAAGCATAATACTCATAATACTCATACTAATATTTACTTTTGCCAGTCACAAGCAATACATTTGTATATATGAACATAATTTAAGTTACTAAAGTTAAGAATACTATATTCTACTATGTCGAAATCGAAAAAAGCAGCAGATTTGCAGCAACAAATAGTAGATTTGATTCTAAAGACAGTGATATTCTGAACTCCATCGCTGAGGCCGTATCATCTGCTATAATCAATAACATTTGCAGAAACTAAAGCTTTATTTCTAAAGTATCTAATAAGATTGGCGGAAATGAGGCAGTTACTAGCAAGATAAGGCAAGAAATTCACGAGAGTTTATCCTTTGATTATAAAGATTTGCAAGATAAGTATATGGCGCTTGAAAGCACTTGTAATCAGATGAAGAAATTGTTTAATAACCTAAGTGAATTATATGACGATTTAGAACAATATGGAATACGTAATTGTTTGGTCTTTCGTGGGATTTCTGAATCACCTAAAGGCGCAACTGAAAATACAGACGCGAAAATTATTGATGTTGTTAAAAACAAATTAGGGTTAAATATAAATGAATCAGACCTAGATAGATCTCATAGATTGCCACGAAAGACCTTGCTAGCCAGTACAACGAAGCCAAGGTCAATTATCGTAAAATTTGTGAGCTGTTTAATTTGTGAGCTGTTTTCAATATAAAATCTGAGGTGTTTGGAAATAAACGAAAGTTAAAATCAACTGGTATTAGTATCACAGAGAGTTTGACGAAGAAGCGTTTAGAATTATTTCACACCACATCAAAACGTTCTAATGTTGAGTGTGGACACTCGATGGTAGGATTGTTGCTCTGCTTGCAGAAAGCAAAAGGAAGGTGTCTATCGAAAGAAATGAGGATTTGCGCAATTGTGTGGCTGAATGAACCTGCTAACATTAATTGCTTAGATTTTAGTGTGTTACAGTATTATGTCTATGAATTTATTTATAGACTAAAGTTGTGCTTTATTATGGCGTTATAGTGTGTGTAAGATCAAGCGACTTCTTAGTTAGTATATGTACGTGCCTTTTTATGGCGTTATAGTGTGTGTGAGATCAAGCATTTTCTTAGTGTATGTCCATGTCTTGTTTATAGTGTGTTTAAGATACATTCTAGGTGTCTAGCTGATTAGCTTCGTTAAGACGGACCTTTGAAAGCCTAGGAAATCGGAAAACGAAATTATTAAGCTATAAACATGTAAATTATTTTATAATTTAGATAGGTAATAATACAATAATACAATGCAATACACTTTTTGACATCATATTATATGCCATCTCGTCCATCTCGCCGCGTTTGATTTGAAGGAAAAAAACATGTCATATATTTTGTGAATAATGAACAATCGAGAATCTCTTCTTACCTTTGCGACAGGTATATGAATACTCGGGAATCAGATTTACCTTTTCTTTATACAATCGACTCAGATAAGC